CCCCAAAACCCCAAAACCCCATAGTACTTATTATTAGAGTGAAAGATAAATAATATTTTTAATAATTATGGAAAATCTAAATAGTGAGTTTGAAATTCAAAGAGGTTTATCGCATCTGAATTAATTTTATATCTTTCCTAAAGCACTCAGAGTAATATTCAATATACCTATACTTTTTTACTTATTAAGAATAAAGATCATGAAGATTGGAGAATCTATGAGATGATAAATACCCATTATCCTTACTAAAAGATATAAAAAGAGCTGAATAAAATTATTGACATTCCAGAATATCTATAGAAGGTAAAATATTCATGAAATATAATATGTAGGCACTGATTTCAAACTTGATCGTATAAGGTAAAGTAATAAAGATAGTTAAAACAGATGATAAGCATGAAAGAATAGCTGAAATTCAATGCTAATTTTTAAGACCATTAACCTTATGTCATTCTTCATCAAAATTGTACTAAGATTATCACCCAATATACTATAAAAAGGACCCTTCTTATCCTCTTGAAGAAAAGAACCTTAATGAATATATTGAAAATTTAAAGGAATTAAGCTGTTATAATCCAGAAATTTTGATAATAATTAACAAGGATAGGTACCTATATGATAAGGATTTACCATAATTTGCTTTTGATTGTGAATTGATTAAATTAGGTGATATAATAAATGTCCTGATATTAGACAACAGGAAAATCAAAGATGGAGTTTTAAATGGAAGTTTAATTAATTCAAAAATTTAAGGATGCAAGCAATAGCCTTTAATGATTGAAGAAATTGAAAATCTCAAAGATTGAGAATCAAGAGTATTCTATAAATTGGGTAAAGTGGAAAAAGTGCATAGGTCAAATTAATCTGAACTTTACGTAGTCGATCAATTGATTAATTAGATTGGGTTGAATCAATATGGAACTATGTTATAACGATAAGACAACATTATTTACGATTTTTCAGTAGACAATTTCAATCCAAACAAATTGAGGGATATGTAAAATCTTGATTGGGCTGAAGATTCAATCTATTAAGGTTTGCAATGTGAATAGGTAGAGGATTTTGATAAGGCACTTGAGTACTACAATTATGCTATAGATCTAGATCCTTTAAGCAAAGATGGGCATTAAGCAAAAGGAATTCTTTTAAAGAAATTAGAGAGATTTGAAGAATCTGAAAAAGCACTCAAAGAAGGGCTAAAATTAGATCCAGAGGATGAAGATCTTGAATAAATCCTTAAGGAAGTAATGATTATTAACAGAACTAATTAATAAGATGAAGAGAATCATTCTGATCGGAGGAAAAATGGAATCAATAAGTACGAGGAGCAATGGGAGGGTATGCCTATTAGTACAGGGCATTTAATGACAGACATCTAATTGAAACATAATGATCCAATCATTAATAAAAGCCATGAAAGTATTGTCAAATAGGTGAAGAAAGAAGCACCTAAATAATACGAACTTGAATTCTGAATTTAATTAATTTTTTAACATATCTTTGAGATCTATACAATTTAATATATTGGGGTTTTGGGGTTTTGGGGTTTTGGGG